ATAATGCATACATATATAAATATAAATATATATATTATATATATATATATATATATATATATATATATATATATATATATATATATATATATATATATATATATATATATATAGTATATATACTTATATTATATATGTGTATATACATATATAGTATATGTATATATTATATATGCATACTATATATATGTATATATGTATATATATATATATATATATATATATATATATATATATATAAATATGTATAAATATACATATATATATATATATATATATATATATATATATATATATATATATATATATATATTATATATATGTTTATTATATTATATATGCATACTATATATATGTATATATATATATATATATATATATATATATATATATATATATATATACATATATATATATATATATATATATATATATATATATATATATATATATATTATATATATATATATATATATATTATATATGCATATTATATATATGTATATATATATATATATATATATATATATATATATATATATATATATATATATATACATATATATACATATATATATATATATATATATATATATATATATATATATATATATTATATATGCATATTATATATATGTATATACATATATATATATATATATATATATATATATATATATATATATATATATATATATATATATATATATATATATATATATATTATATATGCATATTATATATATGTATATATATATATATATATATATATTTATATATATATATATATATATATATTTATATATATATATATATATATATATATATATATATATATATATATATATATATAATATGCATATATAATATATACATACACTATATATGTATATATACATACATAATATAAATATATATAATGGATGATGTTTTACAAAATAATGATTTATCAAGCTTTTTTACCAATCCATGTGATTTAAAGAGTTTAAATATTTTTTATATTAAAAAATTTTTATTAAATTTTTAAACATTTTTCTTGTAAAGTTGTATAGAAAAGAATTTGTGAATGCTTCTTCAGTCCATGATATTGGTAGAAAGATCAACATAAAAATTTAGCAAATTTTAGCAACTGTATAATGTATCATAACGTACAGTTTATAGTTGTATTTTTCTGTTAGCTATTTTACATGAACAAATTTTTAATATAAAAGTATTTTTTCTATTATAATTTCTACTATACTTTTCCAGTTGAAAAAGTATAGTAGGGCATGCAAAATGTTCATTCGAGCTGTTTGGATAGAAAATACAGAGAAATAAAGAGAGAAAATTCGTTTGATAATTTTTTGTGCTGCTCGTCATCTTTAAATGTAATAAATTGTTTCAATGAAATGCATAAACCGCATCTAACTAATACAGATTTCAGCTGCTCAAAATTTAATGTCATGGAGATAATGTAATTTTTTTTTAATATAAACCTTAAGTCATTACTTTTTTTCCTTGTTTTTTTAACATGCTTTCATTCTGTATATGTTGTTTTCAGTGTTTAGATATATTCTTTATTATATATTCTTTATTATATAATGTATTTAAAAGATTTTTAAATTGAATGAATATTCTTAGATCATGAGTTATGTAATAAATTTGAATTTGCCTCTATAAGTGATACTCAGATAGAATCAGGTTCAGAAAACAGTAACTATTTCAAAAGATACTTAATTCAAGTACTATTAGTTATATTTTGATATTAATTATTATAGGAGCCACTACCATGCTTATGCAAGAGAAAACATAATAACCAACAGAATAGTAAGCAAATACCTACTCCTGTAACGCAAAAAAAGAAACAGAAAACATTTTTTATGCATACTCCCCATACTGTAGCTCAAGGTATTAATTGTCTGTCTGCAAGTTGATTGAGGAAGAAAAGATTCTGAACGTTTTTTTCTATGCTTCAGTGATTTACACATTTCTTTGGTTGCTAAATTAATACACTTTATTTAATTTATGAATAATGTTTTAATTTATAAATTTTTTTTCTTGTGTTTCAACACTTTTAGAAATTAATTAATGTTTGGTTCTTTTGTCTTTCTGATATATCTTTTTTCTTAGAAAGAGATGTTATTAAAAACTCTTTCCAGTAATTAAAGTAATATCATGACAAATAGTTCTGAAATTCTTATTGATAACAGTTTAAATGATTCTTGGGTGAGGTCAGAACTGATAGGTTGTTTCAAACCATGACTTTTTGCAGTTTTTTTTATTGTTTTTTGATTAAGTATTTATTAATAACTTAGCCTAAGTTAATCTACTTGTAACTTTTTATAAATGTACTATAAAAATAATGTGGTGTAATTATTTTCTAAAACCTTTAGGTTAACAAACTTTCTAAAATTGGAGGTAAAACCATTAAGACAAATACAAATACATGTGATGCAAAAGTTTGTTAAAAGTAGTTTTAAATAAAAAATCTTTTGAATCTTTTTTATAGTTTGTTTTAAACTTGTGTTAAAAATCTGTGTAGCATATATTTTTAAAAGTTTGACGAATTCTTATCAGACATATAATGAATCTTTTTTTTTATGTCTGATTATAATTTTTTTTGTAAGTGTTTTCTCTTACTTTTGTATTTCCTTGAGCTAAAGAACAACCTTAAAGTACAAAGGTTGATTTGTAACGCATACTTAACCTTTTTTTTTTACTCTATATATACATACATATATATGTACATACATATATATGTATGTATATATACATACATGTGTGTATATAAACATACATGTATATATATATATATATATATATATATATATATATATATATATATATATATATATATATATATATATATATATATATATATATATATAAACATTTAACATATTGTTTATTATTTTATTATTAAAATATTATTAAATAAATTTTATTATTCAAATATTACTGCAAATATATAATCAAGATCAATATTTGGTAATTCCTCCTTTGCCTCTATAATTGCAGGAACCCTTTTTGGTATACTTTTAATGCATTTTTGAGCCATTTCCTTCAATTTTTTATTATAGTTCCAATGTTGAATAATTCTTTCTATTAAATACACTTTATTTGTAATAATTTTTTCAGATATTTGCTTCTTTAGAAGCGCCCAAACATTTTCTATAGGATTTAGGTCAGAAGAGTTTCCTGGCCAATCAAGTAATGGAATATTTTGTTCTGATAGATATTTTTTAACTGATTTAGCTGTGCGACATGGTCATGCCCTGTCCTGCATGAAGGCTTTTTTTTCACCTGGACTAAACTATTCTGCCAATGGTGACAACAATCTTTGTTCCAGCATTTTTATATTGTAACTGTAACATTTTTCATTCTGCAATATAGAACCTTCCTATTTCTTTTACACATTTCATTGATCAGATCATCACAGAGGTGGGGTGTTTAACAGTTTGCATGATGCAGTCCAATAAGTATTTTTTCCCTTTTATTCTTTTTAAAACTTGAAAGTACTCTCGCCGCTAAAGCATACCTTCAAATATTATACAAGGATTGTTAAGTGAATATTGAATGAATATTTAAAGTTTAGTGTAAGAAAGTGGATATTTTAAATTCATCTAAATTAATTTTATTAATTACCAACCATATGTTAAATTCCTATACTTTTTTGTCCACTCAAGCATTTTTTGTACAATTTTTGGTGTCAGTTTAGGCTTCTTAGCTGGACGTCGTGAAATGTAACCAAGATTGTGTAGGCAATGTTGGACCGTTCTCTTCAACATTTTGACTCCAGATTGGCCCAGCTTATTAGTTATTTTGTTGTTGGTGGCCCGTCTATTTTCTAGAACAATCTTGGTAAATATTCATTTCATGCATGGTGTTAGGATTCTCTTCTTCGCACATTTACCAACCCTCTTTGGCATCAAGTTCTCCATATTAGCATTTTTTTGTGTATATTTTGTACAGATACCCGCGAAATACCATATTTTCTGGCTATTTTTCATTGAAAATGATCAGTATTTATTAAAAGTGCCCTGATTTCAGCAATTTTTTGTGAAAAGTTTTTTTTTCTCTCATAACTAAAATAAGATATCACATATCAGTATCACATAACAGTTAAGAATTTGCTTTGGTACTCATAACTTTAAAAATATCAAACTAAATACAACTATTTTTAATTTAAAATAAAAAGAAATATTCAAGAAATTTCTACTGATTTAAATAAGTAATATGACGATAACCTAATAAAAGAATTCAAAACTCTGGTAATAAAACTTAACAAGTGTACAGCAAAAAGATTATAATTAAGATGACATCATACAAAATGGCTGTCAAAAGTGACAGTGTTGCCAGTAGCAAAAAAAAATCATTGATTTTATAAGTTAAAACTTTATTTTAAACAGAAGATTATCTTTCAATAATGAATTTTTACTCTTCATACGAAAAAAATGAGATTAAATTTCAAAATGATCAAAACTCATAGGTGGCCATAATAAATTGTCACACTACTGTATATATAACCCTTTAGCGCCCACCAAAGCCTAAATTTTTCTAAAAATTCCGAAACCTTCAAAAACCAACTGTTTTAGGACCTAGATTATGAATAAAATAACAAAAGCCAAAAAATCTCACTTGCAAAGTCAATTATTTAATTGCAGCATATCTGCAACAATAGGAATATGAGGAATTAAATTATAAATATAGTTTTCTTTAAAAAAAAGAGATTATTTTTAAATTTAAAGAACAAATTAAAGCAATTTAACAGAAAAATAAACTTTTACTTATGTTTTGAACTGACTAACTCTCTTTTATACAATTAAAAAACATTTTCAGCATAAATATACATTTACAGTAAACAATCGTTTATAATATAAATATAAGTTATAAAAACAAATCTTAAATGCCATTAATGGTAGTCATGAAAGCAATTTCTGTCTTTAATTAAGCATAGCCAAACATTGCACTTCTTGCAACAGATATAGGAAAAACCGGTTTTGCATTTCTTACATCGCTGACGTTTGTCACTATAAGTTGGTAAGTGATCAAATCCGTCTAACCGGATATCCTTTGTAGGATTACTCTGAACAGCAGCAGGTCTTTTGGTTGGTAGAGGTATTGCATCAAGTGATGGTCTTCCAGCTTTACTTTTTACAACAGCTATCAGGCTAGAAGCTACTGCAGCTTGAAACTTTTTTAGAGGCATGAGTTTTTTAGTGGGGCAAATAATTTTTAAGTCCCGACGATACAAAAACCATGCATTTGATAACGCAATAAGAAGGGTATGTGCCCATATATATACATACCATCTAAGGCATTTCAAATTTGGTTTGTAGAATGAGCACATCATATCCAGTTTGTCAACTCCATCCATATTTTTATTATAAAACTGGACTATGTAAGGTTGCTTTACCATAATATATTTGCGGGTTTTTCTGTCATAACGCCTCACTGTATTGATTGGTTCAATACTCGCAAAAGATGAAAATAAAGTTACTGCCTTGTTATCTATCCAACTAACAGCTATGTTATTAGAAATGGTGTCAGTACGATAGTCAAATGATCCACGTTCTTGCTTTTTCAATTCTTTTTCTGAAGGCAATGAGCATTTGTTAAGGCGTGCTGTTCCAACATACCATATTCGACGCTTTTTCAGTTCATCTAGCAAAGGCAAAGAAGAAAAATAATTATCAGCAAATATCTTAAAATTATGATTTTCTGGCAAAGTTGAGGTCATTTTGATTACAACAGATTAGTGATGTGCCGGGTACCCGGTTCGGACCCGGGGACCCGGCAGTTCGGCTGTTTTACCGGGTACCCGGTATTGGCCATTTTGTTGCAGTACCCGGCAACGGGTATCTTCAAATTGATTTTTCCTTAAATTTAAACTTTAACTATTAAACTTCTTGATATAAGTCTAAGAATATTATGTAGTCGATAAAAACAAAGGTCTATTAACTTAAAACAATCTCACTTAAAATATTTTTTTAATACACTTTTGCAAAAAAATTTATACGGACACAAAAACTGTTACGCTAAATGAAATAATTCGAGAATACGAATAAAAAGAATAGGAAAAAAAGTTTTAGAATAGCTTCTTTTTATTCTGTTAGTACACAAGATAATTTTTAGCAATTTAGTTTTGAATGAAACGCTTATAATGCTTTCGAACGCTGATACCACTTTTCATTCGTATCAAGCAAAAATCATAAAAGTAGAGATATAAGGTAAATATTATACACATTTTTCATATTTTAATTTCGATAATAAATATAACAAAATATTATTTAGGCTCGCTCCACCAGGAAAGAAAAAAATTTTAAACTAAATATAGTTATTAAAAAACTGTTGCACAACTTACCCTGCTCCCTTACCCTGCATTGCGGGGTTTTGCTAAATGGTACTTCCGCCACATAACTTTTGGTTAGTTAGCATAAAAAGGAATAGTTCAGCGCTAGAGATTTTACAAGTTTTTATTACAACTTTTAGAAAATGGACTCGGTACCGAGTACCCGGACTCGGACCCGGTTTTTTCAGCCGGGTACCCGGAATCGGAGACTCGGCATAAACTGGTTTCGGCACATCTCTACAACAGATGCCTCAATACCATGAGGAGAATATTCATCTTTCTTTTTTATTTCTTTTCCTTGATATAAATCAAAGTCATACAAATACCCGCTGACACTACATCTACCCCAAAGTTTAAACCCCCACTTAATGGGTTTATTTGGGACATATTGCTTCAAAAATGACCTTCCTTTGATGGCAACCATTATCTCATCAACTGATTGATTTTCTTCAGGAGAAACTTTTAAGAAATTTTCTCTCAGTTTTTCCAACCAAGGTCTTAATTTCCAGGCCCGATCATTTTTCTTTACTTCATCTGTTCCATTTAAATTGTCAACAAAGTGTAAATAGCGAAGAATAGAAAGAAATCTATTCCTTGATAATACTGAGCTTACTCCATCATAATTCATAAAGGTTTCCCAATAAGATCTCACTTATGGTAGTTTCACAAGACCCATACGAAAATAAACACCAATAAACGATTCTATTTCATTGGATGTGACACAAATGCTTGTACCTGATGACTGGCAACTATATAAACTAGATTGTTCAGCAAGAATGTCGATAAGATTGTCATCAACAAACATTTTAAAATATTTGTATGGAGTGGTAGTTTCATCTGGAATAGGTTCAATAGGTACTTCTTGAAAAGTAATATCACCAATCAAGTCATTATCAAGTGGAACTTTTTTCCAAAGTGGCAAAACTCTTAAACACTTTTTATTTTTATTATTTTTAATTTTTTTGGGTGGAGGTGAGGAGTTGAAACAAAGCATATCATCGTCTGTACTGCTTTATTGGGTAAGAGACTCCGAAATAGGTAAAGGTATATTGGCATTGTTGTTATCATGCACAATTTTAGTACTGCTTACAACTGCAGTCGAAAGATCAGGTTCAAAATCATAGTCTGACTCACTCAGATCCTCAAAATCATTTTCACCATCTAGAATGTATGCTAGAGCATCTTCAATGTTTAATTTTTCATTTTTATTCATCTAAAGAAAAGTAATATATGTATGTATGTGTATATATATATATATATATATATATATATATATATATATATATATATATATATATATATGCATATATATATATATATATATATATATATGCATATATGTACATATATATATATATATATGCATATATATGTACATATATATATATATATATATACATATATATATATATATATATATATATATATATATATATATATATATATATATATATATATATATATATATATATATATATATATATATATATATATATATATATATATATATATATATATATATATATATATATATATATATATATATATATATATATATATATATATATATATATATATATATATATATATATATAGACATATATACGTACATATAAGTATATATATATTTACATATATATATATACTTTAAAGCCCATTGTAGCATATATGATACATATAAGTTCAGAAAGCATTTTGTGTTAGATTAAAAAAGAGTAAACTCATTTATATACTCATAAAACATACATATGTTATCAATTTACAAGAAAATAAACAAAAAAGCTTTAATATAAATAAAAAACAGGAGAAAACTTACTTTAAATAACATTAGTTCGACCGCGATTAATCGATTTTTAGAAATACAATTTTGATGTGGTTTTTTGCCTTGAACATCCAATTATATGAACCTGGGAAAATCGGATCAACAAAATTATGTTGTAAATATGCTACAATGGGTGTTTTTAAGATCACTTTGTTGACAGGACAACTGTAAAAGGTTTTTAAAGTTATGTAGCAGATCTGCTACACTAGGCGCTAAAGGGATAAAGTATAAATATTTTGCAAAAACACTTTTATTTGCAATAACTGCTTCATTGCATTGTGGCATGCTTGCAATTTATTTTTTATAGTTTCTGTCAACTTTGGGTTATTATGCTAGATCTTGATAATCTCTTCCATAAGATCTTGCTTATTAGTAAAAATTTTTTTTTCCAATCTCTTGCTTTACTATTTCCCAAATATTTTCTATGGGGTTAAGATCATGCGAGTTATCTGGCTATAGCAATACATCAACTAAGCCATAACAATTTTTATTGTGTGGCAAGTTGCACCATCTTGCATAAATATAAGATTTTTGACATTATTTTTAAATTTTTTTGTCAATTTTTGACATTTTCGGCTGGACATCAATCCCTCTTATTTTAGCCTTCTACAAATGGTCTAATCTGACACAACAATTACAGCTTCATGGATAAGCTTAGTGGCTTTTTTTCTCTTTTCCAGGCAGATATTTCTGATTATACTGTCCGCTCTTGGTGTTTTCTTGCGTTTAGAAGGTGGTCTCCTTGGACCAAACTCTTCCCCTGTATGAATTTTTTTTCTTTCTTGCATTACGGTTTTGGTAAGAAACCTTTTGCGTTGGGTGAGAAACCTTTGGTAAGAAACCTTTGTGCTATTTTTCATTAAGAATAATTTGTATTTTGTAAAAGACATGTATATCAATTTTTGTTACTATGATATTAATAACAATGTATAATGTAGGTTGTTGACCAATGGTTTATAATCAAAATTTAATATGGCTGACGGTAAAGGTAAAGAGAAATATAAAGGAACAATCATTAGGTATTTACTTGTAAGTTAAGTGTAAAATTATATATTTTTAAAAATCACAGTTCGTTGTTTTAATGCTATTTTATTTTTAACTTTTTGATGTATTTGATGAAAATTACTCAGGCAATACCTTTTTTATAGAGGGAGTTTTGCCAATTAAAGTGGCTGCTACAGTTGCCGAAATAAGAAAAGGAATAATGAATTTATTAAAATACGCACTCGACAGATCAAATGGTGGTGGTCGGCGCGTAAAAGGCGATTAACCCGATGTATAACATTCATACTTTTTCCTAGTTGTTCTGGAACTATTGATAATAGTTATTATTGATGAATTGATAAATATAATACTGATAAATAAAACTTTTTTTTTTCAAACAATTTATTTTATTTGCATTGTATATAAAGTCCGTTGAAGCAATTTAGTTGTATCTGATTAATTTAGGTGAAATATAATATCCTCTGCGCAAATTATTGCTTTTTTATTGTGTTAATTTATTGCATTTAAAGTTGAGAAAATTTTTTAGTTAATTGGATTTAACCAAAATAAAAAACAAAAATCAACGTTGAATTTACGTTGTTTCAACGTTGTTTTAACGTCTTATCAACTACGTATCAATCGAATATATCACCTATTCAAAGTTGAAATATGGTTGATATGTAGTCGATAAGACGTTAGATCAACGTTGAAACGACGTAATCATCGACGTTGTTTCAACGTCGTAGTTTTCGACGTCGGATTTTATTTCCAATTCAACCAAATTTCAACGTTGTTTCAACGTGGCATATGGTCGGTTTGCGACGTTGTTTCAACGTTATTTCAACGTCATTGTGCCGGCTGGGAAATGATGCCTATGTTTTAAATGTCAATAACTATTTTAAATAAAGGATAATGTTTTTTTATCTTAAACTAAAATGAGATTTTTTATAAAAACAACATTAAAAAAAAAAAGTTTTAAGATAGTTTCACTTTGTAAAAATCTTTTATAAGTGATACAGTTATTTTCTTTTAGTTTAAACTAGTTTAAATTAGTTATTTTATATTTTTATTTTTATTCATTAATTTTATTTATTAATTAACTAAAAGTTTAAATTAGTTACTTAAGTTTATTTTCAGTTTATTTTTCTCAAATTTTTCAATATTTTAATGCTATGTAGATTAAAAAGTACAATAAATTAGTAAAAAAGTGCTAAAAGGTTTTATTCCCATATTTGGCGACTATTCACCTAGTTGTTTTGTCTCAGTTTTTAACCAAATTCTCAATATGCAATTGTTTAAGTAGTTATAACTATGATGGCAAATCATGCATTAAGTTATATAAAAATGAATACAAATAGTGACCATACAATTAAAGTGTGTATAACGCAGCTGTATATTTGTGTATATCTATATTTTTATGCCATTGTTTTCATAAATATATATTTTAAATAATAAATGGTTTAATTTTTTCTAGCAGTTAACAAATCGCGAGGTTAGAAATATTTTGTTCTTAACCTTTTGAAAAAATAAAGTTATTGACTGTGTCATATACTTCAAAATAATGTTTTTCTACTGTATGAAA